GGGGGGGGGGGGGGGGGGTCCTTACTATAATTGTAATAATTGTAGTATAATGGGCCCCAAACCCTATTCTAATTATTAAGGCCCCTACATTAGATCCTCATGGCCTACTTTAACCCCTAAAACACCTGGCGGTTTCAGGATGTCTACTACGGGAGCTCGGAATCATAACCAAGAGCCCGACAGGGGGTAGGCTGTATGGTCCGGATAGAAACCTTCCAATCAGACAACAGTATTGAGAGCAGCAGTACGGGTGGCTTATGCCGCTTTGGTTGACCCGGCAACTTCGAAATGTCAGCCGAGTTTGACCAGAGACGGTGGAAATGGGCAAGTCACCGTATCCAACCCTTTAGAGCAGTAGTCAGAAACAAGCCAATGTTGACCGGAGACGGTGAATCCCTAAAACTCTTCAACCCTGAACCTTAAACTTGAAATGGCTACAGACCTCGTCCATTGGCCGTCGGAGTGTGGCGTGAACCATGAGTGAGAATCAGGACGGCCTTCGTCGTGCCCACTTCACTTCTCAGTATGCCGACCGTTCTCACAGCACGGTTGAAAGGGTGGTCACTTCATCACCCAATGCCGGAACAATTCGTATTTGTGGCGATCTCGAGTTTGCCATCAAGGCAGCCTTCTCCGGTTCGGTCACCGTAGCCATAGTTTTTCAACCAGGGATGCCGGGCAGCTACATTGCCGATCTTCTTGTGGACGAGGCGGGAAGATACGCCTGCTGGGCTTCGTGGAAATGTCAAGCAAGGCTCGTGAAAGCTGCTGGTGCGGCATTTGCTGAGCCGTGACTCCACATCCCAGATCCAGATCTGGCCCTCGATCAGTAGACATGTATTCGAGATGCGCCTTTATTGGGGCTCAGATCCACTGGAGGCTGAGGTACTGGTAGCTAGGAAGAAATTGTGCTTGCATTGCGCATTGTTGGTCTTTCCCTCAGGAGCGAAGGATTAGGGTTTTTGTGGGAGGCAAAAAACCCTAAACCCCTAAATCCTGAACCCTAGACCCAGGAACCAGAAGGCCAACCAGCTGAAGAGCAAGAAGATTGACCTTGCCGATGCTGGGAAGGCCGGAACCCCTAAGCTTCACGAGCCGTGAGCCCGAACATCAACACGCTGACCGGTCATCCCCAACCAGCACTGGCCCTTCCTTTGTGTATGGCTATGTATGTAGGTAGGTAAGTAGGTGGGTTGGCAGGTAGCTAGGTAGCTAGGTAGCTAGGTAGCTAGGTAGCTAGGTAGGTAGGTAGGTAGGTAGGTAGGTAGGTAGGTAGGTAGGTAACTATTTAGCTGGGTAGCTAGGCAGGTAGGTGCAGTACTTGTTTACATTGGAAAGTTTTTCCTGAAAAGGCTTATTGCTGTAGATTGACGTGTTTGTTTGCTCATTTATCTATGTTGCATATATTGTGTAGGACTCCCCAAGCCTTAGTCTAGTTTTCCTCGCAGATCCTATATACATCATGCCTGCACTTGTCCATTGCGGCAGCTGCTACTGGAGAGGGGACTAGTGCTTTTCATGGGGCAGGCCCTGGCCGCGGCCAACAAGCCACCCGATTGCAGCGCTGGGGGAGGGGTTGACATGTTCTGGTCTGCACTTTCAGATTAGATCTCTTGTGTTTGGGATATAGGTAAGTATGTGTTTGTAGAATTTCGGCAGAATGAGATTATAGATTTGTTTGCAGTGTTCAGATCGCTTGGATGTGAGCTGGGTGGAGCATACGGGCGATCTCTACCCTTTGGTACACATAGTATCAGTGGAGGTCAAGGAAATATGAAAAGAGGCCGCCTATGTAAGAGACAGCCAGAGTCAATCATGGGCCTAAACCGGCGAAATCACAGGGTCCATTTTGGGAGCTGGGCAGGGTTAAGGTCGTCAGGTTCCTGCTTGTGAACTGAAACTCCCTGATTTACTGGGTTCTTGTTAAGGAACTTAATTAAAGTTACCATAATAGGGATCTATAGTAAATAATAGGGTTTCCTCATTATGGTAACTTAAATTAAGTCCCTTAATAAGAACCCAGTTTAGGAGTTCAATCGGCCCGGAGCCTTCTGAGGTACCTGGAGGAGCTCAAGCCGGAATGTCTCAGGCCGGCCATGACGAAGGACCGGAAGCAGGGCTTGGACCGCCGCTTCTTCGGGTTGCAATTCGTTTTAGTTCAGGATATAACGACCACAAGAGTTGATGTAAAATCACATCTCGATGTTGGGGCCTGAGGCACTAGCATAGCTTGTCTATAATGTAGGGCGCATGCAGCTTCACAACTTTCAGTTCTTGTGTTGCGAGTTTTCGTTTCTTTCGAGTTGCAGAGTGCCTTCGGGCTTCGGGGATTTGAAACTTCTGTGGCTTACGTGGCTCTAGGGTTCAAGCTTCAACGAAGGGTTCATGGGCAAATCAGTTTAGAGTTTAGGCCTTTGGGGACTCCGGGCTTGCAACTAGGGCTGCCTTACAGTAAAGTCACGGAGCAATCTTTGTTATAGTGAAGGCCCAGTCGATGGTCATGGTTTGTCATGGTGATGAAGCCCGAGCCGCCCAACCCTAAACGATAATTAAACTATCCCAACACATGCTGACACGAAGGATGCTGAACTTGTGCCTCACAAAGCCCTGAAATCTATACCAACTCTCTAAAGCCATCAACCCTGAACCCCTTTAAGCGCTACGCCCTTAACTCGTAGAGCCTGAGCCCTAAGCCCTGAGCCATGAAGGCCTTGTTAACCCTGAACCTCCTGTAAGGCCGGGTCGGGGTCTCCATGAACTTGAAGCGGTTTAGGGTTTAGGGTATCTCGGGCACAAGGGACCCTAGTTGAATACACCGTTCTCTCTTAAAGGAGAGGATCCTGATACTACGGTTGATGATGTAAGTTGAGGATGTAATGTCTGCGTTTCCTTAAGGACCCTGAACGATGGGAAT